AAAAGTTTATCAATGTAACGGATTTTATTTCTGAACCATTCCAGTCTTCAAATTTAGATATATATTCAGTACACACAGTTGGAGAATTATCAATGTGGCCAGTGCACGATATATCAAAGAAATTTGTTATTTTGCCACATAATAACATAAATGTTGTGTTTCCTCTTATTCATACATGTTAACAATTTAAATAATATTATAATTATTAATTATTATTGCATTGTATTTAGATTTGCCATTTATTACTGTTTTATATAGTATCTATGTATTACTAATATCTATTAATATCTATGTACCTATCTGTGTATTTATGTATTAATCTTTGTTTTATTAATAATTTTGTCTGCCACTGTACATCGACTATAGCATAAAGACTATAATATATATGTGCGCTATGGAATGGATTGTAGTACATTTCATAGACGAAAATGTAGTTGAGGCGGTACCAAAATTGTGGTTACACGACAATTTATGTTACTGGCCGCCATATACTGGTAATAAATTAAGAAATGCAATGAACACCTGTGAAAAACCAGTGTTTGGTTCGTGGCCACTATTTAAAGTACGAGAGCTAGGAGATGGACAAACTTATGGTAAGTATTCATATGAATGTGTTACATAAAAAAAATAATTTTTGTTTATAGGTAGTCATAATTACATGCACATACATACATATATGTACATGTATCTTAAATATATCTTTATATTGAATCTTTTATTATAGATGATTTCCAAAAAGCAAAGTCAAAAGCTTCTGTTGCAGAAGATACATCTGATTTAGCATCAGATGTTGAAGGAAAAAGAATTCGAAAAAAAAAGAAATTTCTGTATAGTACAAACGAAACACAAAGTGAGGAAAACGAAACAGAGAGTGAGGTAACTGCTGACTACACTTCATCGGATAGTGAAGTACATCCTACGAAATTTCCTATGCTTTCTGAACACACAGGTGATTCTTTCTTAATTTCATGATCATATATCTATGATATATATAATATATAAAAGTAAAAAAAAATTTGTTAATTATTTTGTCTTAGAAATAGATATTAATACATGCATGAGTCCAAAACCCTGTACAAGTACAATAGTAGCAAGTTCAAAAGAAATAAATCCAAAACCACGTACAAGTAAAATTGGAGCAAGTGGTGCAAAGGAAATAAATCCAAAACGAGGTATAAATAAAATAGGAACAAGTGCAAAAGTAAATCCAAAACCATTTACAAGTGAAAAAGCAACAAGTGCAAAAGAAATTATTACTGATAATAATAACGACAAAGAAAATGTATTGGAGCCAACAACACTAAATAAAAACAAAACGAGATCATTGCATGAAATCATCACTTCAAATTCTAAGGATAATATGAATTGTCACATCGATAAAACTGATACTGGTAGGTTACTTTAGATACTATACTTGTATATAAGATTTTATGAACATACGTATATATTATACAGGTGAAATTTATGGTACAATCCGGAAGAAGGTGATTTTAAAACTCACAATACAAATAATAGAAAAATTATTTCTAATAAAATCTCATCTTTAAGATAAACGATTTGAAAAATTAATGGAGATTGCATGCACTTGATCAATATTTTTCCGAGATTTTATGTAACAGATTTGAATGTGCTCAATGTCTTCGTTTATTATCAGGAGTTAATAAATATGTTATATATTGACAGTTCCTATAACGAAATCTATGATACCAGTCAAGTACGCGCGCATTTCATAAATTTTCAAAGCAGCTTTTCGCCGAAACAAGTCCTTATTTAAAAAAAATTATTATCTTAACTTATTTGGTTTTATATAATTATTTGTTTCCTGTGCTGCACCATGACTAAGCTCGCTGTATCGTTAAATATGGATAAAATATGAAATATAGAGATTTTATAATTGTTTTACAAACGGTTTGCGCAATATGTGACTATAATTTGTAAGTATTCTTCTAGATGCTGCATTTAAAAAGCAAGTCCTACGTCAATTGCAAATTATTAATTTAAGACAATCGCAATTATGGGAAGATGTGCAAACCATTCTACAAAAGATTCAAGTACAAGATGATAGAATGTTAATAACAGATAATGAAGAAACTATTTTTAATAAGTTTGATTTTCCTCTAAAAAGCATAGACGAATTAAATGCCGTCGAAGAACATTTAATGGACAAGACAAATACTAACATGTTTGTACGTATCATTTATATGAATAAATAAGGGATTAAAATTAAATTATATTATGTATACATGTTTTTATTAATGGATAATTTTAGGTGAAAGAATTAACAAAAATTGGTGGAGCTACATACAAGCATGCCATAAAAAGGATCATGTGCAATTTATTCTCAAATGAGGTTGCACAAACTTACAGTTGGATAGGATTCAAGGGAAAGAACAAGTTTTCTCTTCTACAGATTTCAGCTTGCATAATAAGTGGGTACATTAATTTGAACATAAAAGTTATTATATATACAGGGTGTCTGATAAAAAGTCGCCAATTGGAAAATAGTGGTAGATTGGGTTAAACTAAGAAGCAAAGTCATATGCCGCGTTATAAAATTCGCAATAGTTATCGAGTAATTAATTTACATGTCTAAGCAAATGAGCATGCAGAATACGGTAGGCCGGACTTGCAAGCCATGTAAGATAATCGATCGATGAGCCGGAGATGGAGCGACGCGCGAGATACATGCTCCCCCGTTCACTATTTTCTCCCACGCGGTGTATCTCGCACGTCGCTCCACCTCCGGCTCATCGATCGATTATTTTACATGGCTTTCAAGTCCGGCCTACCGTATTCTACCGTGCTCATTCGCTTAGATGTGTAAATTAATTACTCGATAACTATTGCAAGTTTTGCAACGAGGCATATGACTTTTCTTCTTAGTGTAACCCAACCTACCACTATTTTCCAATTGACGACTTTTTTATCAGACACCCTGTATATATATACACACATACACACACACATGTAAATAATTAATATTAATTTTTTATAGAAGCCGTGCAAAAAATACATAATACAATCACATTATGTGACATTGAAGCAGCCATAAAAGCATGGCTTGTAAAAGCGAAGTTAAGAAATGCTAAGAAAGAAGATAAGTAATTAAAAATCGCAAAAAGAGTCATTATTACCACATAAAGTGCAATATTTATGTTACTTAATTACTTTTATGCAGACATGCAATATTTATGTTACTTATTTTTATATGTAGACGTGCAAATTAACAAGTATTTTCTGGTCTGTAATTGTAATGTCAATTTTTTTGCATTGCACAGAAGTTTCTACATTATTTATGTTCATTATATTATTAAAGTCCAGATATTATAGTTATGTAAGTTAATATATTTAGTCATATAAAAGTATTTAGATATATGTATATTTACGTCAAAACGCAGAGTCATTATTAGCATATACATAATGTATATATAATGTAAAATATGAGTTTGATTAATAAACGTACAAAATTTATAATTATATTAATATTATTTGTATAATTTTCTATCATATAACCTATATACGAGTATATATGTACAGCACATGTTTATGCAAATATATATTTTGATAGAAAAAAAGTAAGAAAAGGTAAAAGTCAGAATTAAAATGTTTTATCATATATACTATATGTGTGTGCGTGTGTGCGTGTGTGCGTGTGTGTGTGTGTGTGTGTGTGATAAAACCTTTTAATTCTCCCTTTATCCTTTTCTTTAGTTTCTTTCTTTCAAAATATATATTTGCGTAAACATCTGCTGTACGATTTGGATGACCGATTTTTGGAACATTCTATAAACATTATTCAGATAGTTCTAAAAAGCTTCTTTTCATATTCCTTGAATATAATACAGAATATTCTTTCAACCTATTTTTTAATATTAAAATTGGTCCCACTTTCACGTTCTATACATATTTATAAAACATTATTTCCATCTTATTAGCATATTCTGAGAATATTCTAATATTCCCGAAAAATATTTATAGAATATTCGTAGAAAATGCTCGTGTTATCTGGGTACACTTGACATGGAATTATTCAATGCTAAGTGCGATATTCCATTAATGTTTCTGATACATTCTTATATGTATATTCTACGAACCTTTTGCAAATAACATTCGGTGAACATTCTCGCTGACATATTCACGGAATATTTTTCAAGAATATCTAAGAAACATTCTGAGAATAATTTAATAAAATACATTCTGAAAGGAATATTTATGAAACACTCCATAAACGTTTGCTTCGTATATCTCCACTGTCACATCAGTGACATTCTCAAGGAATATTCTACATTACAATACAGCAGAAGT